GCATGGTGGTAGACCCTTGTACTTTAGTACCAGGGAAGTTGAGCCAGGGAGACCACAAGTTACAGGCCAGCCTGGGCTACACAGTGAGAGCCTGTCTCAGACATAAAAAGAAAATTCTTAGGAGATGAGGACAGGTCAGGTGAGAGTGAAGAACTGGGTGCAGATGTGATCCTGTCGGCCCAGAAGGCCTTTAGCTGGGATGAACTCCAGGGGCACTGACTCAGGTGCCTTCTTCTTCAGGTCCTGCTCAAAGATCTGCAAAGGACAGACAATGGGTGGCATTGGGCTGGATGCAGTAATCCCCATGGCCTGCACCCCAACAGTCCTGCACACGGCCCTCACCTCATAAGCAGTAAGTTCCAGGAGTGGCGCAATGCTGACCTCGGGGACAGATAGCACCTGGCTGATGACCCCGGCAGCTCTGGACACCTCAGGATGGTAGTGCTGTTGAAGAGTCTAGGAGCAAGATAAAGTGATGTCAGAAACCTCATGCCATAGCAGCAGGGCCTTAGAATGGAGCTTGAAGCCGCGAGCCAGTGTGGGGTCACCAGCAACTGAGTATCTGAGCATACCCTGGCATGGTGCCCTATGTGACCAAGATCTCTAGGGGCTGCTGGAGATGTGTCAGTGGAGACTCAAATGCCTTCTAGAAGCTGGACAGGCAGATGACTCACCTGCAGCTCCCACAAGCAGCTCTCCAAGGCATGGCTCCTGGCTGGGTCCTTCTCTATTGGGTCATATGGATCAGCATCTAGCTCTACAAACAGGATCAAGATTCCATTTACCACCTGGCCTTTTGGACCACATGAGCCAGGGTATGCCACGATGCCCAGCTACTCATGCTCACCAATGCCCTCTGGACGATGAACCATAACTCGGCAGGCAGGATGTCTACGTAACAGGTTGCAGATAAAGGGCAGGACCATAAGAAGGGCCTCAGGAGGTGCTGTTAGGGCCAGCCGGGCCAGGCGTTTGGCAAAAGCAGCCACCAGGTAGGCAGGGAGGTGGCTGGGAGGGAAACAGGTATGAGAAAATAGGTCCCCAAACATCCTTCCACTGCCTCCCTAACCAGAACTATAGCCCCCACAGACCATGGAGCTGGATCCCCAACACTCACGAGGAGGAAAGGAAGAGATCAGCCAAGTGAAAGAACCGGGCTCGGTACTTGACGTGAAAGATGGATGGATCCAGGAGGCCATATAGCTTTTGATAGAAATCAGGGTATTCCCTGAGGGAGGGACCAGAGAGAATACAGAAGGTGAACTGGTTAAAGGGACAGAGCCCCCCAGGTAACGAAGGCTCCTCCTCTTGCACTTCTTTTGCATTAACCTCCCAGGTGAGCAACAAAAGCCTTTGAGAGGAAACTAGAGAGAAGACCAGTGTGGTCCTATTTGGCACTCACAGGTTATGCTTATGGATTAGGATGAAAAGCCCGTTCAAGGCCAGGAGGCTGATGGCACCACCTGCAGAAACACAGGAAGACATGAGGCCTTGCTCACCCTAGGCCTGAGTAGGTAAGGGAGGAGTGGGCATAGATGCAGGGGACCAGCCTATAGAGTGACTGACTACCTACAGTCACATGCAGGAAGGTCGTGGGAGATTAGCTCACATCTGTCAGGTAGGAGATGGCAGCTGGGCCCATGCACAGTGAGTGAGTGCTCCTTGCCGAATAACCTAAGTGGAAGTCCTACTCACCCACATCACAAGCACTTGTGAGAAAGTCAATCATTAGGGTGGGCTGAGCCAGGTGGGGCAGGATGGAGTCATGCATTGCCACTAGTACCTTCTTGTAGAGGCTGAGGGGCAGCTGTAGAGATCATGGCAGTCATGGAGCTACTGCCCTTGCCCCCACTGCCCACAATAAAACCAGGGACTTCACCCACCAGACCCTACCTTATGTTTAAGGAACCCAAGCCACATCTCCTGGAAAGCTTTTCTGTGTTCCTGCAACGGGACCAGGCAATATGTGTATTCTGATAAACCCCAGCCCCACCTTGCCAACACCCACCCACCTGGTCCTTCTGCAGTCAACTATGGGCCTTTGACCCTGAAAGACCCAGGCCAGTCTGCGATGCCAAGTCTCAGAACAAGGAAGGACAAAGAACAGAGGGGCACAGGACTCAGGTCTGAAACTGGTTATAGTGACACATAAAAGTGGCATCACTTGAGACAGTGGAGTACATGCTATTGCCTATAACTGCCCAGAGAGGAGGCCATGCCAAGGAAGGTCTTCAGTCTCTGAAAGCATCTCACCTTCAAGTGAATGACCTTCCACTTGTCTGATGTCTCTGAAATCACAGCAGAAAGGGGAAGACAGTGGCTAGCCAGGCTGAGAGGCCTGGCTCTCTCCAGGAGCCCTCCTACCAGGGTCAGGCTCCAGTGGGCCTTAACCTGCCCAGAACTCACGTGTGTGCTTCACATAGAACTTGGTGAGGTCATGCTCTTGGAGGGGCAGGTTCACAGCAGACAGCAACATGAAGGCATTGTTCCAGAAGGTGGGTGACACCTGCAGAAAGCCTAGCCTGAGCAGATGTCCAGGCTGCTGTCATCTACTTGCCTCCCTGAGGCACTAGGGCATAGGATGGTGATGGAACCCAGCTTCTTACCTCAGATTGCTGACTAGTGGCTTGGGTCACAGTGCTTGTGGCCGCCTGCATTGTGTGGTACCGGATATCATCATATTCCAAGTATTCGCAGAACTGGGAGATAAGCAGGCTATGGTCATCCTCAGGTGTGAGCAGGCCTCCTACCACTGCCTGGGGAGAAAGGTTGAATGACTCTCTTCCACAAAATGGTCTGAGCAAGGTCAAGAAGGATGTCACCAACCATCAAGCTCCACATCACCAGGCTGTCTGCCATTTCCTCTCCAATTCACAAGACAGAATATTCATTTCTATTTCAATAAGTTTGCCTGGAGATCAGAGAGTAAAACACTCCCAATGGTCAGTCTTACAGACTAGATAGTGGTGATACACACCTTTAATCCCAGTAGCTACACTAGTTTGCCATACAAACTGGGCGGTAGTAGTGTACACCTTTAATTCCAGCACTAGACAGGAATATAGGAGGCAAAGAGACAGCTCTCAGTCTCATTGTAAGGATTCCTGGAGGCAGCATCACCATTTCAAACTGAGGTAGAGGTAAGAGTCAGTGGCTGGCTATTTTATTTTTATGAACTTCAGGCTAAATGCCAATATCTGTCTCTGGGTTTTTATTAATTGTGCTACAACAGAGACCTGTGAGCAGTAAGCCTTGCTTAGTTCCCAGGTCAAAGCAAGACAGGAACATAATATGCCCCAGCTATCTGTTCAGGAAGCTAACTCACGAAACCATCTTAGGCTTAGCCACCACAGTCTTCCAGATCCCACTAAGGCCTTACCCTGAAGAGTGTGCGGGGGAAGAGGTAGTGACTTTCCCACTGGGGCTTCTCCAGGGGTTTCGCTCCTTCCAGCTGCACAAACGTCATGAGTGTCTTGAGGGCCAGCTCCTGGGAAGCAGAGGAAGAGTAACCATGATGTCCCCATCTAGATGGCCTCCCAGAGTTCACCTAGCCTCAGGGTCGCTCCCAGCCAGGCTTTGGCCTGGGCCAAGAAGTAGGAGAGAAAGGAGACCACATCTTACCTTGCTCCGTGTTATATGTATGTGATGATGGTGACAGTGACATGCTGTTGTTGACTTGGGACAGAACTTATAACAGAATTTGGCCTAAGGCATGTACACAAGCTGGGCTTGCAGCGTAAGCCACCTAACTGCTCTGTCATCAAGCAATTTTGGAGATACCACACCAAACATGACAATATTCAAAGCAGATATGGTGCCCAGAACTAGGTTTACAGACACCATAACTTCAGAGTCAGATAAATCATACCACACAGTGAAACAGTTGTGTGGAAGACAAATAGCAGTGAAGACATGTAACTTCTCTTAAACAGGGAGAGAGATGTTCACAAAAGCAGCCCCTACCTATGTTTTAGAGAAGCTGGGCCAAGGACTTCAAGACTCACCTTGACCTGGAAAGAGGGATGGGTCAGGAGCTCCTCCAGGCGATTACAGCAGCTGTGATAGCGGTGTCTCATCCAAACTTTGTATTTCTGTGTGGCTCCCTGGGATCCTGAGAACAGAGGAGAGCTAACTCCCACTGATGTTTGTATGCCAAGCCAGACCAAAGTCCTAAACCCAGTCCCGCCTTCCCAATGTCTCCCATCTTCAGTTGTGAACCTGTACCCAGACCAAGCCTTGGAAAAGACAATTTCTGAGCTCTCCAAACTGGGACTAGATATTGAAACACAGTTCTCACTTTTGCCTCAGGATTTGATCTCCTAAACACTAGGGCAGTGACAACACCAAACTTTGGAAGTGGCACAATTAAAACCTTGAGGAAAAAAGTTGCTAAGTATACGAGTTCGTGTAGGCCTGGCAAGTACACGGATCTCACTTTCTGAGCCACAATGGACTGAGTCCTTCTACACCGTATAGTATATGACAGGGCCCTTATTTGGGGTGTTTCTCCTGGTGTTATTTAATTAGGCGGGTCCCACTGGGGCGGCCTGGCGGACAGTACCCCAGCCCCTCCAGGTCACTTACCTGCCAGGACCGTGTCCTCGCGTGGCAGCGAGCCCACGAAGAGTTCTTCCCGCTCCAGCAAAGTACCGAAGAGTCGGCTGCATGTGCGCACTCCTTCCTGGATATCCTCAGGGTCCTCGGACTGAGGCAGGAGGTCAGAGTGATGCTGGGCCCAGTTGTGACTCCCGTTTGTCGCCCCAGGGCCGCCCCCGCCGCCCGCGCGGCTCACCTGAAGTACAGCCAGGATGTCAAACACTGCGTTGGCCTGGCCACGGCTCGTAAGCAGCGCCTGTAGTAGACGGCCAAGCTCCCCACGGGAGCCCGCCGAAGCCAGGTGACTATCCATGCTGCCACTAGGGACTACCGGAAACGGATGTCTACGCCGAGTTGTGTCGCGTCTGTGACGTCTACTAGGGCTCGATCTGGTCGCGTCATCAGGGAGCGCCGAGGAGGAGCGACGGCGTGCGGCGACTATGGCACTATTCCACGTAGCGCGGTACGCAGGCCCGGAGGCTTCCAGGCTGCGGGATGCAGAGGTAGAAGCGGGTAGCCGGGCGCGAGTGCTGCTCGAGCGGCTGCAGAACCGAGCCCGTGAGCGGCAGCAGCAGGAACCGAAACCTGAACCCGCCGGGGAGGCCGAGGAAGCGGCAGGCAGGCGGCGTCGACGGCCCCGGCGGCGGCATGGCGGCTCTGTGGCTCAGTGCCCAGAGGCTCCTAGGGCGAAGCGGCAGAAAGCGGACTACAGTGTGGATGCAGGTGGGCCGTGTGGCCGAGATGTGGACGGGGTTGTGGAGGCTTCTTCCTGGGTGCGCTGCGGGGTTGATATCCCCTCTGTTGTTGTGTCGCGCAGGGAGAGGCGAAGAGTCGCCTGGAGAGCTCAACACCGACTTAGAGGACTCAGTTGAGAAGCCCCCAGAGGAGGCCCCGAGACTTCCGGCTCCAGGGCCTGTGCTGGGGGACTTTGCAAGAAGGAAGACACCGAAGGTGAGTGAGTCTGGCCGTCCGCCCGCTACTCTTCAGCCTTATCGGGGCGGGGGTGGGTGTGTTGTTTGTTTGTGGGTTTTGTTTTTGCCCTTACGTGACCCTAACTATAGAATGGCGGGAGGCTTATAGACGTGAAAGACCAATTGGACCCTGGTGTGCCTGGCGGCCCCCGCAGAAACATTTCTGGCTGAAATGAGGCAATTGCTGGTCTGGGTGTCTTGTCCAAAGACTGCAAGAATGGGTGGTGGTGAAGGGTTAAGGAGAGACTAAGTCAGCTCTTGCATCAGAGTTGAATGCTCCATGTGAGTGCTGCTCCCCTTCTTAGGCCCTTGCTGGCCCTAAAATGAGAGTCAGGGTGACTTGAGGAAACCTGCCCTGCTAATATGTTCTTCATCCTGCTAATGTTGTCCTCGTTTTCCAGCACTTACTCTCCCTAGATGCCTCTATAGAAGCTGCTGTTAGGTTCTCTTCTGTAGTTCCTAGTTTCTGATGACTGGTGTTGCTCCATGAGCCTGAAGGGCTCTGCAGAACTCCTGTGGTTTTTTACTCTTTTAGGTCCAACCTTTCCTGCCGGCATGGCTGGCAAAGCCAAGCTGTGTCAAGAAGAGCGTCACTGAGGATCTTACTCCTATCGAAGACATCCATGAGGTTCACCCTGACTTGCAGAAGCAACTGAGGGCTAATGGCATCTCTTCCTACTTTCCAGGTCCTTCAGCCCTTGGCAGATGATGGGGTAAACTCCCGGAGGCAGCCTTCTCTGGGCTGTCAGGGCTCCAGTGTAAGGGCTGTGGTTTAGGGGTCCCTACTTCACACTGGATCAGTGAGCTTCTGCATCCTTGGGCTCAGGTTCCTGATGATTATCTTAGGTTTTATCCAGTCCAGGTGCCATCTTTGGCCAGATCTCCTGGGTGACATGATATATCCTAGCATATAATTCACCTGTTCCTTTTCTTCCTTCGTTACAGTCCAGGCAGCTGTGATTCCTGCCCTCTTGGAGAGTGCAGATAGTGGGTTTCTAGTAGGCAGAGGTGGTTACCAACCTAGTGACCTCTGTGTGTCTGCCCCAACGGGCAGTGGGAAAACACTGGCCTTTGTTGTCCCTGTGGTACAAGTGAGTATCTGAGTATACATTTCTAGCTGGAGCACAGCAGGGAGGGGTCCTGGTGGCACAGATGATCTCTGTCCCTACAGGCCCTGATGCATCGAGTAGTCTGCCACATCCGTGCACTGGTTGTGCTTCCTACTAAGGAGCTGGCCCAACAGGTATGCCAACTCTGTATCCAGAAGTCTGTATTCCCAGCGTTAGTTGCCCTTGACCACCTGTGTTAAACTCAAGAGTCTTTGTCATAGCAGGGGCCACTGTCTATTTTAGACCAGTGACAGACTCCTTTTGCAGGTGAGCAAAGTATTCAACATCTACACAGACACCACACCTCTGCGGGTTGCTTTGGTGACTGGACAGAAGTCACTGGCCAAGGAGCAGGAGAGCCTTGTCCAGAAGACGTAGGTGTGCCAGGTAGTGGGTTCTGCAGGAGGTCGTTCCCCAGCCCAGCTGGTGTCCTTTGATTAGAGTGGTGTTAGTGCTTTACATGTGAGACTTTGCTATTAGATGGCCCTTTGAGTCTTTCTGGTTTGTAGTGTAGATGGTTACCGATGCCTGGCCGATATTGTGGTGGCCACACCTGGCCGCCTGGTGGACCACATTGACCAGACCCCAGGATTCAGCCTCCAGCAGCTCCGCTTCCTGGTAGGCCACCTTCTGAACACCTGGGTCCCTGAGCTGGGGTGATGTCACTGGGGAGTCTTCAGTTGACCCTTGGTTCCTGTCTGCTGTAGATAATTGATGAGGCTGACCGGATGATAGACAGCATGCACCAGTCCTGGCTGCCCCGGGTGGTGGCAGCAGCCTTCTACAATGCAGGCCCCTCAGGCTCCTGTGCCCTACTCCAGAGGACACAGCCCCAGGCTGTGACTGCTGCCAGGTATCCTGCTGCTCCCTTTCTCAGCTCCCCTTGCTGGCCCTAAAATAGCAGTCAGAGTGGCTTGAGGAATCCTGTCCTGCTAACACGCCCTTGGTTTTCCAGCACCTGCTCTCCCCAGATGCCTCTACAGAAGTTACTGTTCTCAGCCACACTGACCCAGAACCCTGAGAAGCTGCAGCGGCTTGGCCTCTACCAGCCAAGGCTTTTTTCCACGAGGCTGGGACAGAGTGGCCCTAAAGACACAGTTGAGATGGATGGAAACTTGGGGGGGAAGTACACCTTCCCGGTGGGGCTTACGGTAAGCAAGTAGGGCATATGGGGCAAGTTGGTGCCTAGGCCCAGGGCATCTGGCTAGCACCTGCTATCCATTTCCCACAGCACCACTATGTACCTTGTAAACTCAGCTTGAAGCCACTTATTGTCTTACACCTGGTCCTTGGGATGAACTTCTCAAGGGCCCTTTGCTTCACTAACTCTCGAGAGAATTCCCACAGGTAAGCTGAACCAAAGCGGGGTATAGCTAATACAGACTAGACCCTGGCACCACCTGGCTTCTATTTCTTCCCCACCCAGGCTCTTCCTGTTAACACAAGCTTTTGGGGGTGTGAGTGTGGCTGAATTCTCCTCCCGCTATGGACCTGGCCAAAGGAAAAAAATCTTGAAGCAGTTTGAACAGGGAAAGATCCAGCTGTGAGTACATGGAAAACAGACAGGACCTAACTGTGTAGTGGTGGCGTGTTACTGGGCCCTTCTAGTTCCTGGGTTAGCTGGCTCCCAAGAGAGGCTTGGAACTAACCCTTGGCAGAGTGGGTACACATGTGACTGCTGTTTCTGGCCCTCTGAGCCCCTGTACCCATGTCTCCTCAGCCTTATCAGCACAGATGCTACTGCTCGAGGCATTGATGTGCGGGGTGTGGAGCTGGTGATCAACTATGATGCCCCCCAGTACCTGCGAACTTATGTGCATAGGTAAAGTCTAGTCAGCAGTGGCCATTTGAGGGGCTTAGGAGCTCTTTGCCATTGTATGTGGGATCTTGCATCGTGGTTTGTGTGCTGTGTGGCCAAGAGATTAGGTCCGATTAGGTCTCCAGGATTAGGGCCAGAAAACACTTATGCTTGGTTTCAGGGTTGGGAGAACAGCCCGAGCTGGAAAAACAGGCCAGGCCTTCACACTTCTCCTCAAAGTGCAGGTAAGACCATGTAGTTCCCAGCAGATGTCATGGGTAGATGCATGCTACTGCAAATGGCATTTGTTTCCACCCTGTCCATAAAACCCCTTCCCTTTAGGAAAGGAAGTTCCTCCAGATGGTATCAGAAGCTGGGGTGCCTAAGGTGGCACACCATGAGATCCCCAAGGAGCTCCTGCAGCCCCTGGTCCCTCATTACGAAATGGCCTTGTCTCAGCTGGAGAAGATTGTCAAGGTGAGTGCTTTCGGACCCAGGTGGGGTTTTGCAAATCCAGCAAAAAGAGGTGAGCAGGAAGCAGCCTCATGCCATGGGACATGCCTCCTGAGCACAGCACCTGTTGTGTTCCAGTTGTAGGGCAAGGGCTCTGCAGACAGCAGGTAAAGATGAGCTCCCTTTTCTCCACAGGAAGAGCAAAAGTTGAAGACAGCCTAGATGGGAGCAAAAGCCCAGGGAGAACATCCTGCCTCAGTGAATGTTGTGTTTAAGCAAAAGATATGGTTCCTGGGGGTTCCAATAGAAACAACCCTTACCTGCAAGCACCATGGTCATCTTGGGCTAGGCAGCCTAGGTGGTGACTTGATCCTGAAAAGTAATGGCCCTTGGTTTGTGCCGCTGGGGGTTCAACTGTCTTTGGAAATATGCTCAGGTAAAGCTGAAGGATGCCTTCAGGAATGTGATGAAAAACTATGGTCAGCCTTATGGTGACAGCAGATTAAAGTGCTCCTAGCATTATCATTTCATGTCTACAGAGAGACTATGGTGAGCCTGTCCCAGACAAGTCACTGAAGTCCAGGAATAGGTTAGTTTAAGATGTTTCCATGGCTACTAGCCTTCAAGATGTCCCCACATAAGCTTGAAGTAAATTATGGGAGAGTGCTTGCCTGAACATAGTCAAGGAGACTGTGGTTTTTTTGTTTTAATTAAAAACAATTAAATTGTTTTAATTTTTTGTGAAAAATTAAAAAAATAAAGAAAAATCTATAGTAACTAAGATAAACTTTTCATTTATGTTTTAAAAAAAATGGGTAACTTGCACCCATGCCAATTCCCTGATAGCTTCAACACACTAATACCCCTCTAACTCAGGACACCTAGGCTAGCTCAAGAAAGCAACACAGCCACCAGCACCATCCTCAGGCCCTTGCTGACTCTAGGATTTTGCTCGTGATATTAATTCAGAATCTGCTATACAGCTAGTCTGAGAGTCAGACTTCCGTTTTATTGTTGACATTACTAATGCTTTGAATATCTTATAGAATGAAATGAAACTCTCCTTCACTCACCTCACCCACCTAACTCCAAAGTTTTTTGTTATTCTTTTTAAACCTACTGAATTGATTTTATTGTTTATCTTTGAGTATAGTGCCTACAAGGGTTCACAGGACAAAGAAAACTGACTCTTCCAGCAGCAATGAAATGCCAACAGTTCTTCCTCAGCTGCTGGTGGGGCTGTGCATGGTGTCAAAACTGCTGAGTTCATATGTCCTATTCTGTTGTGTCTGGAAAACAGCTTTAAGTTACGCACCACCTCTGGCTTTTTTTTTTTTTTGTATTATGTATACAACGTTCTGCCTCCATGTATGCCTGTATTCAGAAGAGGTTACCAGATCTCACTATAAATGAATATGAAACACAATATGGTTGCTGGGAATAGAACTCAGGACCTCTGGAAGAGCAGCCAGTGCTCTTAATCTCTGAGCCCACCTCTGGCTCTTAACTTTTCTCTGCACCCTCTTCCTTGAAGGTCTCTGAGCCTTGGAGAGAAGTATGGAATGTCCCCTTTAGGGCCCAACACTCCACACAGTCTCTTACTTTGTACCAGTTGAGCAGCTGCCATCTAGTGCAGTCAGCTTTTATGATGAGAGCTGAGAGGTACACTTAATCTATGGGTATGGGAATATCATCAAAAGTCATTTTAACAGTATGCTCATTAACAGAATAATAGCATTTGTTTTTCGAGCCCATGATCTATCTAGCCACAGGTTCTTGGCCCCATTAACAGTACCTAATATGGGTTCTATCACATGGGGCAGGCCTTTGATCCAATCAGAAAGTGGGTGAAAGGCTAGAGAAGATTAGTAATTGAGCATTTTCTGTGTTGTAGAGGTTTGGTTCCTAGTACCCACATGATAGTTGCCTGCAATTCCAGTTAAAGAAGCTCTCCAAGGGCACCAGGCACACAAATGGCACAGACAGAAGGGGGGGTGTGTGTCATTTTTAAGAAAACAGTTGGTGCCTGGCCTGGGGGAACACACCTTTAATCCCAGCATGTGGGAAGCTGGACCAAGGGGATCTCTGAGTTCAAGGCCAGCCTGGTCTACAGAGCCAAGTTCCAGGACAGCCAGGGCTACATAGAGAAGCATGTCCTTTTTTAAAACAGTTGCCACCACTATCACACTACCAGTGAGCCCATCTTGTCAGACTAGTCATTATGCTAACAGGATTCCAATAGGGAAGCAGCATCAAGTTTCAAGCATCAAGCATGAGTATCAGCTTTAAATATGTGGCATCTTGTTCAGCAGTAAAGTCTTATGTCAAGTTCTGTTCTGAAGGGTAACCAAGAACACTGGCAATAGCCTGCAGTGTTTGGGAGTCCTAAAAAGGGGAACCCATTCCTGGTTCAGGGGTTATTTGCTAGCATGTGTTACCTAGTTGGGATTTTGAGCTTCTCCCCCCCTACCCCAACATAGAGTAACTTCATTTAAACTAGTATGTATATATTAGAATGTGTCTATAGGTTTCCAATATAGCTTTTTCAAAAGTATTATTGGTGGCAAAGTTAATACATCTTGAAGTTACTTAAGACTGCTATCCTACTGTGTGTCAAACTGTTTAACTGTAACCTTAGGTACTCTTAGGTACTACTCTTCATGCCCAGACCCAGATAATGCACATGCATCATTTTTTTTTTTAAGTAGCAAATAAAGACTTGGAAGCAACTTCCTAAAATCTACCGTAAAGATTGGTTGGTTGATAAATAATTATGTTTGTTATCTGGGTCAGTTGGGCTTGACTGGACCCAGTGACTTTTCCCTTGTAAAACTCAGTTAAAGATTTCTGTAAAGCATTCACCGTGGGATTCTGTCTTTATTGCTGTCAATAAAGACTTTGTGAGCTCCATACAATGCTGAGTAGCAGCAGGTAGGCAAGCTGAATGGGTGTGGGGTCAGCCTTAGAGTTGTGTAGTGGGTAGGGATAAGCAGGAAAGTGAGTCCTTTTTCCCCATTCCGCCTCTGTGAAAGCTCCTGGCTAACTTTATACCCCCCTTGCCTCTCTGCTGGGGATTAAGGGTGTGCACCACTACACCTTGCATGAGGTCCAGCCATTTTTATGGGCAGTGTCAGAAATGATCACATCTACTGTCTTGATCAAGATCGGCACTCGACTGTCACCTGTTGGATCTGTACAAGATCAGGCATCTAGTGAAGGTGGTGGACACCATGGGACCAGCCAGGGAGGGTCACCTGGGATCTGCTTGTGTGAGGCTGGGTATGAACCGAACCCCCAAGGCCTTTCAGAAAGGAAGAGGTGTGAACTTTTGCATGACAGTTCTAAGTAGAAATCAAAACATTATTTTTCTGGTGTTTTTCTACTTACTTCCTAGTGCCTGAAGAGGGGTTCAACTTGCAGCCCTCTTGGCACTCTGAAGTCCTAAAGCAGATACAGCACCTACATTGCTTTGTTTTCTAACCAACACATCCTTAGTCCAAACACTGGTCATGAAAGACAAAACAAGGATGTAGAAAGGTCACTTTTATTAGCCTCTGCTTGTAGGACATCAAAATCCTATTCAAATACAAATGTTTGTGTTTACAAAGTATTTACAATTTCAGTCCTGTTTCTTACATTTTTTTTTTAAAAAAAGAAAACAACAGCTATCTGGTTGAAAAATGAATGAAAGTAACTGCCAAAAATGAAGACCCTGCCTCTTGCTCCCACCAACCACCTGGCTTGGGCACACTGAAGTATGCTGCCACAACAGTGGGAAGGATGGAGAAAGGTGAGTGCAACATTGACCAAGGACCCCACTGAGCTCAGTTCTGCCTGAGGACTATGGGGAATGGGAATAGGAATTGCTTCTGGGAGCCAGGTACCCAGGAACCTCCCGGGGATATTCTTCCCCCAACACAGCACACACTAAGCCAAAACGATGGGTTTTTGCTAGTAGGACAGGTTTGTGGTTCAGAAAATATTAAACCTCTTCTGGTTTTTAAACACCTAACTGCTACTTTTATCCCAAGTTTCACGTTATGAGCTCAAAAGTGAGTTCTACGTGGGCTTCAGGATGTACTGTCATATTCCTGCCCACACAGTACACAAAAAGTAGAATGGACATGACAGGGAAGAATACTCAAACAATACAACTCCTGTCTTCAAGGCTGCAGTGCTGACAGCATAGACCTCAGAGACTTAACTTCCAGGCTTCAGCACTAAGGCACAGTCAGCCTGTTATGCCCAAGAATGCCAAACAAGTCACTTTACAGTGGTAAGAAGAGTGAACTTAGGACTGAACTTCATTCAACACTTTCTCCTTCAATTGTAGGCCTGTTACTGTAACAGCTGTTTAAAATCCATGAAGAACTGCTGGGGTGGCACAACAACAATGCCTTCCAGACTAGACCAGGACAATAAGGAAACCTGGGTTTCCTTATTGAAACCAGGCTTATTGGCACCAGGCTGCCCTATACATGTAACCCACACTAGCTTGTCACAAGAATACTGTAAAGGATCTCAGTACAGTGTGTATAAACACAAACTTGGCTATACAGAGATGGTGTCAGTCCCAGAGCCTCATTCAAAGGAAAGCCACTGCAAGATGGGTGCTCATAATGCAAGCTAGGACCTCACGGGCATATTGAGAAAGGTAAGAGAAGACCAGAGTGGAGGCTCTAGAAAAGGGGTGAGGTGGAGGCATCTAATGGTCTGCTCTTATCTCCTACATCTCCCTGAACATTCAATGGTACCAAAGACCATGTCTGAGCTGGAGCCTGCTATAGGACATGCTGCCCCTACCACATATACTGAGTAGTGTACACTACAGAAGAAACTAAAGAGCTTTTCAAAAGACTGATGTGGACATTGCCCCCACAGTGAAACCATCAAAGACTGCAACTGTCGCTTTTTCAGCTAGTCACACAGAAGAAAGTCAAATCACTTTGGCCAACCTAGGTAGCAGCAGATCCCAGAGTCCAAAAACAGTAGCTCATTCTGCTAAGACAGCCTTGCCATAGTACCATCCAGTTTCCTTCCTATTGGCATGGAGGCTTGGTGGGTGTCTTCAGCCTCACAGCAGGGACTCGCATCTGTAACTTGGGCTGCTGGCTTGGGCTGTCAGAGCTGGCTGGAAGCTGTGCTGGGGTTGGACCACCAGGGGTCTGCAGTGAGGCCGAGGCTGTAGTTACCACCTGCTGCTGAATGAGCTTCTGCTGCACCACTTGGGCTGTGGCAGTCACCGTTGGGATCATCTGTACCTGTTGCCCTGCTGCTGTTGCCTGTGTGAGTGTCACTGTCTGTGGAGAAGCCTGAGCCAAGATGAGATCACAGGTCACTGGAGAACAGCCCTGGCAATGCTGTCCCTTTAACAGAGAACTATCACATACACCTAGTCACCTCAGCAAAACAGCAAAGGATGTAGACCAATATAAGGGTTAGTTGATTTTTTTTTTTAAGTTCATGGGCAGCTTAAAGTGAAAAAAATAATGTCACCACTTAATGAAATACTGAACTGAAAGTAAAAACAAACCAGAGGGTTCTGGTTCAGAAAGGGATGTTTTCACTTGCCAGCTTGTCTCCCAGAAGCTGTGATCCTGTCTTGTGGAACATTAGAAAGGTACCTGCTGAGAGCAGGTTGGGGCACAGGTCTGGTCCTTCCTTGGAAATTCCCCCTCGTCAGTAGGTCATTTTTCCCGAAAGTTCATGTTTTTGTGTTTATTGTGAAAACCAAAAGTAATTCTCTAATCACTAGTATTCTGTTTCTGAAACACATTTGCCCCCCAGCACCCTCCAGGTTTCTGTGCACTCTACCTGTTGAGAAGCTGATGCAACCTGCTGGATGCTGGCCACAGGTGTTTGTTGCTGCACAACTTGAGGAAGTTTTGCAACCTTTGACAAAACAAGGCAAGCATAGGATTCAAAATATATGCACAAATATCTTTCTCTGCTTTTAAGCAAACAAATAATGGCAGGTAACATGAAGAAACAATCTCAAGTATGCCCACCAGGATCCTAGGAGGTTAAAGAGCAACTGACTCACTTTCAGAAGCAATCCATTTAATAACTCAAGATTCTAGGTTCACATTTTAACTTTTTCTTGGGATTAATTATCTGAGTTCTTAGTGACACTGGATAAAGGTTTTGTATAGAGACAAGTTCAGTGGGCCAGGTCTTACCAAGACAGACACCAAGACTTCTTAGTGGTTTCATCCATCATAACTGAAATCTCACATTCTATAAAGCAAAACTTTCTACCCTGTGTTCACGTCCTGCAGGTATCTCTTGCTGTTGTCAAAACTGAACAATGCTGAAGCTGTAGCTCAGTAATGAAACATATGCAGCATGCATGTAGCCCTAGGTTGAATTCTCAGAATCACGAAAGCTACAAAACTTCCACATACACTGTGGTGTGTGATAGTCCACACCAGACTACCTGAGGAGAAGGATGGCGAGTTTGAGGTCAGCCTGGGCAAGGCCAGCCTAAGCAATAATGAAACTCTTATCAAGCTAGCTGACTATTCTTTAGTCAGACTTCTGTAACCTCAGGCCTGCACAAAGGAAACCCCAAAGCCAGTGGAAGCACGGATCATAAGTATGGAATTTGAGAGTGTGGGAGCACTTGCACAAGTTAATAATTTAAAAAATTTTAACAGCTCAAGCCAGAAGATAGAAGTGTAAACACAGGGGAAGTTGACAAAATTCTACCCCAACCAAGAAGCTATTTGCTGGGAAAGAGAAAATCCGGGTTCTTCAATGCAATGTCATGGGTATAATAAACACACTCCAGGACAGACCCAATGCCCAGAAATAGTTGGCCAAATGGATTCCATGTTTTTTAGTATGCTTTTTGAGAGACAGAACATATGAATGAAGTAGGCTTTCTGTCTAGGGCTCTGGGAGGAGTTGTGACAGGGGAAAGAATATGATCAAAATATATTCCATTAAGAAATTTTCATTAAAGTATTATGCATTGAAAATACAAAACGATATAAACATAGCTTCTGTGAGTTAAGTACCGCAGAGGCTTGGTTATAGTTAAGAGAACAAGATTGTGTACAAAATTACCATTATCTACAGAAACATTTGTATTTTATTTTCTTTGGTTTTTGGAGACAAGGTCTCTCTGTGTGGCCCTGGCTGTCTTGGAACAAACTGTAAACCAGAGCAGCCTTGAATTTAGAGATTCATCTGCCTCCTGAGTGCTGGGGTTAATAGTGTGCACCACCACACCCAGCCCATATTTAAATTATTGTGGAGCAGCACTTAAAATCAGTGTTTACCTAAAGAATAAAGTCTGTTTTGAGAATACAGACTGTCTGCAAACAGCAGAGCTGCAGCACTGGCTCAGCAACTGAGAGTTCATACGGAGGACCTAGCTTTCATTCCCATGCCTACATGGCCGCTCATATCTGCTAGCTGCTTGGAAGGCTGAGACAGGAAGATCACAAGTTCATGGTCTACCTGGGCTACAAAAGGAGTTCTAAATTGTCTACCAACTTAGCGAAACTGTTTCTAAATTAAAATTTTTTTACAAGGCCGGAGATATGGCTCAACAGCAGGGCATACTTGCATAAGGTTCTGGGTTTAATACCCAATACCACAATAAATACATCTAACATAATTTATAAGGCCCTTTAGGTATACATAACCAAAGATGTATTCTCCTGGTGACTTAGAAGCTAAGATCATAGACTACCAACTCTTTTAATACTGAATCCATGCAGTTTTGGACTCCAAAATCATCAGGTACAGAGAGTCAAAAACAGTCAAGACAGTCCTAAAGGACAAAGCAGAAGAACATGCAAGGCAGAGACCCAAGTGGCACAATCATTAAACAGGGCATGATGGAACGCACAGGAAGAATCCCCAGGATAGTGGAGGTAGGGTGGACATTTTTCAATAAGCAGCCTTGAAAATAAGTAACAGGCATTCACATACACAGATTTCATCAAGGCCCTCTTTGGATTAAATAGAGAAAGCAAAATCATGTAGCCACAACTTCTGGGGTGGATTTCTTTTTGTTTCATATATGTGTATATGTCTGTGCATATTGAGTGCAGGTACTATAGAGGCAAGAAAGAAGGGACTGGGTCTCCTAAGCTGGAGTAACACAGAGACAGCGTTTCTCTGTGTAGCTTTGGAGCCTTTTCTAGTCCAGAGCCTTTCCAACTCTGTAGTGCAGGCTGGCCTCAAACTCCCAGAGATTCAATTGTCCCTGCCTCCCCAGTGCTGGGATTACAGGCATGCACCGCCTGGCTCCAAGAGAGACTTTAGTCAGAAAGAGACTGGATACTCTAGTAGCTTGTCTAAAGACACCATTAAGTGAGAAGAAACACACAAATGTCACCACAGCAACTTGTGTCTAGACTGAAAACTAGCCTGGCAGACAACTTGACAGGTATATCAGAGGAGACTTGAAGGTCGATAAACCAGGAAAAGATGAAATCTCATCAATTACCCAAAACACAAGCTAATACAAGTATATCTGTGACAATAGTGGCCAGGACTTAGGGACCATCGGTGAGCATGCGCACAGTCAGTCTCTTTCTCTCTCTCTCTCTCTCTCACACACACACACACACACACACACACACACTAACACATGAACACACAGAAGTAGTAAGTTGGTGTAGCAATAGCATAAGTCTGAGACCTCACTCATGAGACTCCCCTATGTTCTGGAAGGCTCCAGGCCTACTAACCAGAAAGGGCCTTGTAGAAAAGGTCAAGCACTGGTTAGCCACACTGGCTGGGTGCTGGTACTCTTCCACAGGCCCTACCATCTGCACTGAGTTGCACACAGCAGCATGCTTACCTGGATTTGTGTCTGCACCTGCTGAGTCCCAGCCAGTTTCTGGGCCTGGGAGATGGGTGTGGTCAGAAACTGGGTTTTAAGGGCTGGCTGGGCAGCATAGGTGACTTTCTGCTGTGGGCCCTGAGCAGTGATCTGTTGGGTGGTTAGCTGAAGAAAAGACACCAGAGGATCAGAGCCAGGTGAAGACCAGGTTCCCTATTTAAACCCTCAACAGATGCAAAGAGCCTTCATCATTTGGCCCCTTCACAACACCTTTTAGATAACAAGGTCAAGACCATCCCAAGATACTGGCATTGCTCTACCTTTCTGACATAGGGGTGGTACCATCAGTAAACATACTAAGTACAGAAGAAGGCAGTGTTCCCTGCCTTGAACTCACAGTCCCCATGAATTCCACATGAAGAGCCGTTCCTGCATTCTTAATCTTTTCTAGTCCCTTCCAGTCTGCTAAATCCATACCTGCATCCAGCTTGACACTACCCACCCTATCATCATCCCTTACATCTCAAAAAGAAAAACAAGGGACGCTGACCATACTAGCAACCCCACCCTTGTGAGGCTTGTAGCCCATTTACTCTGGACCCTCCTCCCCAGCTGCACTAAAGTAAAACCTCACACAAAGAACCCATACCTTCTGTTGGACGGCAGCCTGGCCCTGGGCAACTTGTGGCTGGATGGCCTTCTGCTGCTGGACTGCCTGTTGCTTGAGCTTCAGCAATTGTTGGACATGTACGGGTTGGGCCACGACAGTCTGCCCTATAAGAACACCTAGTCAGTTAGGTCCTGGCAAAGGTTCCCTGTTTATCCAGGTTCTGTTCAGAAAAGACTAAATCCTAGAATTGTACTAAGGCAAATTAAACAGTGTGGTGTTTTGCTTGTTTTTTTCTTTTGAGGCAGTTTCTCTGTGTAACCCTAGCTGTCTTTGAACTCAGATTTGCCTAACTCTGCCTCCCAAGTGCTGGGATTAAAGGTGTGCACCACCACTGCCAGTTTCTACTTCATAAATGACAAACATGGGAAATGTCATAATGTTAATGGTTAAACTGAGAGCCAAAACTTGGGATTTGGAAATCTAAGAGAATTTACACTAAGCCCTAGAACTAAATGTGTAAAGCAGGTGTTAAGACAGAGCAAAGCAGTGACCATGTGTACC